TTTAGTACAGTAGAATTCCCCCAAAAGATAAACAAGCACATATGTGCCAAAATAGATACAGTACTGTGCAAAAACTAAGGTTTTAGACAGCCAGGAAATCTGGGCAGTAAGTGTGTTTGAACAGTTCAGACACTGTAAAACATTAGAATAAATACAGATGAACATAAATGCAGAAGTCAGTAGTCAGAATGTGTTGTTTTCAGTAAGGTTACAACATTTTATCTTCACTTTTGTTGTTTTTCTGTTATCATAATTATTATTATTATTATTGTTATTATTATTGTTATTTCTTTACAGGACCTGAAAATCAGCCGCCCTTCACAATGTGTTAAAATTGTCATAATAAATGGATAAACAGAAATGCTCCAAAATGAATTGTTCCATGAACTTCCATTCAAAGTTAATAGCGCCTGTTCCTCATCCTGTACGGTTACTGTTTCAGAGATACGAGCTTTTTGTCACGACCGCAGTGATTTACAATCATCATATACACCGGTCAGGCATAGCATTATGACCACCTCCGCTCATTGTCCATTTTATCAGCTCCACTTACTATATAGGTGCACTTTGTAGTTCTACAGTTACAGACTGTAGTCCATCTGTTTCTCTGATACTTTGTTAGCCCCCTTTTACCCTGTTCTTCAGTGGTCAGGACCCCCATGGACCCCCACAGAGCAGGTACTATTTGGGTGGTGGATCATTCTCAGCACTGCTGGACTGAGAATAGTCCACCAACCAAAAATATCCAGCCCAACAGCGTCCTGTGGGCAGTGTCCCGTGACCACTGATGAAGGACTAGAGGATGACCAGCACAAACTGTGCAGCAGCAGATGAGCTATCGTCTCTGACTTTACATCTACAAGGTGGACTGACAAGGTAATAGAGTGGACCCATAGAGCGCGAGGCCAGTTGTGCTCTCCCGGACTCGTGGACGGCTGTAGCATCACCAGGGATCGAACTCGCGATCTCCTGATGATGACAGGGCCGTCGCTTAGACGATGTATGATGTACATCGTATTGCAAGTACTAGAATTCAAAGCCTGTGATGTTAATTAAAGAGTTGTTTAGTCTGTTAGCTCTTTAATCAGTCCAGTTCTAGTTAAGAAGAGTTGTTAGCCCCTCAGTTTAAACAGAACCAGGTTCTTTCTTCAAACACGGTTCAGCTGGTGAGACTTTAGAACCGGAACTGTCTGTTTCATAATCTAAAACTTGTAAAAGTGAAATAGCGCTGCTGCCAACACCATTTTAATGGAAAGTTTAAATCGCTGGGATTAACTTGGCCAGATGTCGAGCCCATGAGTACATTTAATGATTGTATTTTTGACTGTGGGTTTTAATCACACAGTTCTTGCCTTATTGCATTCATCACACTCCCCAGAGGAAAGAAATACTCTAAATGAGATCTCCTTTTAATCTCATGCTCTTCATCTGGACACAGTTAAGTCCAGAAGTGAAATCAGAGTGAGACCTTTTCTCCTGTTTCTCAAATTCGGCTCCTGAGAACAGCTGTCCATCCTGTGCGTCTGATGCTGTTGCTTCTTCTGACTTGATCGGGTGCCCACTGCTCGCCAGCCTTCTGGACTGTTTCAGCCTACTGGACCGTTTTGACCACCATTGAGCTTCACCATTGACCACGCAAACTTCACCTTCATGAACTGACCCTCCTGCTGCTGCTGATGCTGCTGCATAAACTCAAACTGTCTAATTAACTGTTGTTCCACCTGTTTTTCCCTGTTTTGTATTTAATATTTCATTCTAGCACTGTTTGCTGTCCGGTGTTGTCCAGAGGAGGATGGGTTCCCCTTTGGCCTAGGGAGTTTTACCCTGCCACTGTTGCCACTGGCGACGCTCATGGGGGATTGTGAGACCTCATCGTTTAATTATACAGCTCTGTTCTAGATCACAGAACCCTCTCAGCAGTCTGTCAGTGCAGAAGGAGAACTCACGCTTGTCTCATTCATCACCAGAACCTCTTACAGTGAAATGCTGGTGTTGATCTCCTCTTTTCTCCTAAGGGGGTTTCACGAGAAAGAATTCAGAAATCAGTGATCCTTCATTATACAGGCTGCCTGGCTGGCATTGTGAACCCCCCACATCAGATCCACTACAAAGGACAGAAAATTGACATTAACTTCTGCTGTTTTCTCTTTTGCTGAACAGGCAGGAAGACTCTGAAGATGTAAACGTCTCGTCAGACTCCTGCTGTGTTCGAGAATGACTGGAACCTCAGCTGCCACCATGCCTGTGGGAATAAATGCCTCCATCTGTGAGACCAACCTGCACTTAACCACCTTAAATACCAGCACCTCTTCACCAGGTCTGCCTTTTACCTTCTCATTTCCAACAACACGCTTTTATTCATTCTGCTGCTGTTGGAGAACAACAGTGCACAAGTTACACTTTCACCAGACCTTTAATACGTACATACATGTACAACCCCATTTCCAGAAAAGTTGGGACGCTGTGCAAAATGTAAATAAAAACAAAATGCAATGATGTGCAAATCATTTAAACCCCATTATTAATCGAAAATAGTACAAAGACAACATATCAAATGTTGAAACTGAGAATTTTTGTTGTTTCTTGAAAAATATTTGCCCATTTTGAATTTGATGCCAACAACACATTCTAAAAGAGTCTGGACGGGGGAACAAGGGCCTAATAAAGTTCATTGTAAAGTGTATTGCTAAAAGAAACACCTGGTGGTTGATTGGCAACAGGTCAGTAACATGACTGAATATAAAATGAGCTTCTCAGAGAGGCGGAGTCTTTCAGAAGTAAAGATGAGGAGGGGTTCACCACTCTGTGAAAGACTGCACGATCAAATAGAGCAACAATTCAAGAATAATGTTTCTTAATGTAAAATAGCAAAGAACTTCTGCTTTTTATCATCTATGGTACAAAATAACATTAAAAGATTTAGAGAATCTGGAGAAATCTCTGTATGTGAGGGACAAGACCAAAAATCAGTATTTGCTGGTCGTGATCTTTGGGCCCTCAGACAGCACTGCATTAAAAACAGACATGATTCTGTAGTGGAAATCACTGCATGGGCTCAGAAACACTTCTGAAACCACTGTCTGTGAAAACGCTTCATCGCTGCATCCACAAAAACTCTAAAACGCAAAGAAGAAACCAAATATAAGGATCCAGAAACGCTGCCACCTTCTCTGAGCCTGAGCTCATTTAAAATGGACTGAGAGGAAGTGGAAAAGTGTCCTGTGGTCTGACGAATCAACATTTGAAATTCTTTTTGTAAATCATGGACACTGTGTCCTCCGGACTAAAGACCACTCAGTTTGTTATCAGTGCACAGTTCTAAAGCCAGTATTCATGATGGTGTAGGGGGGCATTAGTGCACATAGTATGGGTGACTTGCACATCTGTGAAGGCAACATTAATGCTGAATGATTTATACAGGTTTTGGCAACATATGCTGCCATCCAGACGACGTCTTTTTCAGGGAAGGCATTGATTATTTCAGCAAGACAATGTAAAACCACATTCTGCATGTATTACAGCAGCATTGCTCTGTATTAAAAGAGTCCGGGTGCTAAACTGCCCTGCCTGCAGTCCAGACCTGTCACCACTGATAACATGTGGCGCATTATAAATAGAAAAATACAACAAAGGAGACCCTGAACTGATGAGCAGCTGAAATCCTGTATTAAACAAGAATGGAAAACATTTCAGTTTCTAAACTACAGCAGTGTCTCCTCAGTTCCCAAACACTTACAGAGTGCTGTTAAAGAAGAGGTGATGAAACTCAGTGGTCAACAGGCCCCCGTCCCAACTTTTTGTTGGCATCAAATTCAAAATGGGCATATATTTTTCAAAAAACAATAAAATTTCTCAGTTTCAACATTTGGTATGTTGTTTTTGTGGTATCTTCCTTTAAAAATATGGTTTACAGGATTTACACATCATTGCATCCTATTTTTATTTACATTCTGCACAGCGTCCCAACTTTTCTGGAAATGGGGTTGTATATGAGAAGAGTGAAATCAGCACATTGACAGTGTTATTCTATTTCTACCAACTGCTTAATCTTTTCGTGGTGTTTTTGTACATGCAGTACTGCAGAATTCAGACAGCACCCTTTATTTATTTAATTTCCAGTAAACGAAGCCATTAAATAAAAGTTACTAATTTTTCAGGAGATTAGATATGAGAATCCACATGCATAAGGAAAGAGAAAGTCAAAGAAAATAGGTGAGTCTCCTGAAAAGAATGGAAGCTGGAATAAAGGGAAAGAGTGACTCACTGAACTAGATTTAGTTGTTGAGGCCTCTGTGTGATTTTCTGATAAATGTGTTTTCTTCTTTTTTTCCCCTGAAAAAGAATAACTTGTATTCAACAGTTGTTTTGACTGGAAATTAAATAAATGAAAGGTGCTCTCTGCCTGTACAGTACAGTGTTACACTGTTATTAATGAAGGTTCTGTGCAAGTAGATTTTTTGTTCATCAAGGTACAAACAGTGTAAATGTTCCCTCAAAGCTCCAACAGTGGTTTTAAGGTCTGATTGTGAACCTTAAATAAGTTTTTCCAGGTGAAAAGTTCGTATTTGTACCTTTTCATAACCGAATGTTTTAAACAGAACAGTAAAATAAAAGCCTGGAGACGAGACGGGGTGTGTGGAGTCAGTACAGCTTAGAACATATCATTCAGTGGATTATGGTTCAGTTATGTTCCCTGACTAAAGGTACTGAGATGGACCCTTTAGGGAACCACCCCAGTGACCAGAGGGGCACTGCCCCAGTGTCAGTTTAGTACCTTTATTTCTGAGAGTGTATTTGGTCAGTAAAAAAACAACTTTTATTTTGATTCTGGAAATAACGAGATGCACTTCTAACATTCTCTGTCATCGTGTAGGTGCTTTGGGACCGAAGATAAATTCACCACTTTGGGAAAACATGGAGTGAATTATTTGTATGACAAGATTCAAGACGAGATCCAGAGGACAGCCTTGTTTTTCACCTCGAAGAGCCTTTAGGAGAATAATGGGGCCAACCAGGTTTGGGCCAGCAGCGCTACAGCTGGACAAGTGTGGCTTTTCAAACAGTATTTATGAGGAAGAGCAAGTTCCCCAGCACTCACTGAGCTCGTCCAGCCAGTATTGCTTTTCTCGCTCGTTCCACACTCAAAGCGTCAACCTATGCAGCGTGTCCAAAGCCACGGTGCCCATCATCACTGCGGATGGGTTTGATCTGGCCTCTGTTGTCTACTCAACTCAGAGAGCCATAATGTATCAGTGTGTCAGTGAAGTACAAAGCGACTGCGCTCATTCAGCTGACCTTTCCCAAGCAGCCAGCGCTTCCTCTTCATTAGCATCCCTCACACCTCCCTTCTCCTCTAACTCCTGCTGTATCGGACCAGAACTGTCAGGCTCTCAATCGATCTCATGTTCTACTGCGATCCAAGACATTCTGGACGATGCACCACAACAGGAAGCGTGCCCGTTTCCCAAGAACCTGAAGCAAGAACCTGGAGGAACGTCTGAAGCTTGCAGTTTACGCTGTGAGAACAAGGATGTGCTTTTTCATCTCTTGTATGGACAGAGCTATCTCTGCACCAGCCCGAACACAGCCAATGAGCTAAAAGCCCACGAAAGTCCAGCGGCACCGTCTGAAGACCTTCACGCCAAGCTCCACTGCCAGGCGGATCTGGGTCGGGTACCCGGAGAGAAGGAGGCGAATTCCTTCTTGGGGAACGAACAGCCGTGCCAGTGGATGGACTGCAGAGCGTCGTACGAGCAGAAGGAGGAGCTGGTGAGACACATCGAGAAGGTTCATGTCGACCAGCGGAAAGGAGAAGATTTCACCTGTTTCTGGGCCGGCTGTGTTCGCCGCTGCAAGCCTTTCAACGCCCGCTACAAACTGCTCATCCACATGAGGGTCCACTCCGGAGAGAAGCCCAACAGGTGCATGGTGAGTCCCCAAAGGAGCATCACAGAGTCAAGCTAGCATTTATTGGGTTCATTGGCTGTTATTGGCTCAGTGATCACGAGTGGCAGCAAACAGACTTCCCTGCTTAAAGTGATCATAGTTGTTTTCTGGTGGCGTCCAATGGTCTCTGGGGCTGATATCACAGTCTAAAGGATTCTAATGGTTTAACAGGTGTTGTGATTTCAGATCTGCACTGCAAAAAATAACATCTCAGAAAATGTAGTGAATAAATCTAATATCTCTCATTATGAGACTGTTGTGAGAATATTCTAAGATTATTCCACCTGTTTCTGTACATTTTTACTTGTTTTAAGTGATTTTATCTGGTGAAAGTGTCTTATTCCATTGGCAGATTAGTTTACTTGTTTTGAGAAATAATGAAGATAATTTTGCTCATTTCGAGAAATAATGATTAAAACTAGAAACATGATCTGCCAATGAAATAAGACACTTTTATAAGATAAAACTGCTTGAAAAAACAAGTAAAAATGTCTAGAAATAAGTTAAATAATCTCAGTATTCTTACAACAGTCAAATAGTAAATTTATTGACTACATTTAAGAAGTTTACACTCACTAAGATATCATTTTTTGCCGTGTGGTTTCCTAATGGGATATAAAGGTGTCCTATAGGAAGCTAGTGGTCTCTAATGATAACAATTAAGCCAATTTCCCTCAGAAAGGGAAACCATCAGGTTTAAATCCTAATGGTTCTAATGGTCTTTTTTCAGCAGGGTTGTGAAGCAGAGGACCAGAGTAAAAGAGTACAGACAGAGGCCTAGGATTTAGCTCACTAACTTAAATGTCACATCTAGACTATATTTAATATCTAATACATCAAATATCCCACTTACAGTTTTGTACTGGAGGCTCTTTCAGCCAAGGTGCTTCAGTGGAAATCGGTCTCTAAATGTTATTTACACCAGGGCTGCGCGATAAATAGTCTTTATTGTTTCTGTGATAAACACATCATAAAAAAAACTCCACCAGTTTTTCAAAGATTCTTCATAATTAACTGGTTAAGATGTAAACAGAGTCGTTCAGAGTGGTTTGGTGTGAAACGCTCTGTTCTAGATAAACTTACAGAGTCAGAACTGTTCACAGTGGTGGTGATAGGAACCAGACGTCCACCTCTAAAAGCTCCCTCACAGAAAGTTACTACATGAAATGGTTATGAATTCACTGCCTGATGACTGAGACACTGTTTTATGATAGTTTTGTTGGCTTAAATTGTATTTGAATCCATTTATGGGATACATGCAGGGCGCTGTGAGGCAAAATAGTCCCCAAGGAAAAATTATTGTTTCAGATTTTCCACTATTTACCATCATCAACGTTCCATATAAACTCAGAAGACTCGTGTAGGTTCACTGGTGGTTCTGGATAGTAAATAAAATGTCTATATCTGTGTTGTAGTCATGGCGACCCCTGGTTCCTATCACCACCACTGTAAAGACATCACAGTCTGTAAGTTTCTCTACAATGAACTATTTCCTATCAAACCACTCTGAATGACTCTGTTCGTACCTCAAGGACTGAATGATTGGGGAATTTTAAAAAAATTGGTGGATTTCACCTTTAAGAGCTGCAGAAATGTCTGCACTTTGTCTCGACTCTGTTTTAATGGTGTTTTGTCGCTTCTCATGTCGTCGTCGCGATGTTTGACAGCTTTATTGGACATCGTTTGATGTCAGTGTCGTACAGCTCTGTGTTATTAAGATTATTTACTATAAGTACCGTCTGTGTAATATAGTGTTTTCTTTCTTTCTTTCATAGAGCAGCCCACATAATGACAATATAATATGTCTTATTTTGATCACACAGGACGCAAATTGGTCACAATGAGCAGAGCAGTGAATGAAAGGCTCATCGTTTTTACTGCATTCATGATTTAATACTGTTGTCATGTTTTTGTCCATCAACGTTACATAAATATGTCATGGTACCATTTTGAAACACTTCTGATTTTAACCAATACTGACTGTAGTCAGGGGCAGATTTAGTGATTCTGGAGCTCTTCAAGAACATTTTAAAGCTAGTTGAGGCTCTGGGCTCCCACTGCACTGGAAAGAATCATATCTTGGCAGGTGAAATCATCTTAAATCTAGCCGTTATATCTAATATTTCTCCTTTTGAGGTTGCTGTAAAGTTTCTTTGCTGCACTTGGAAGACTGTATTTGATTTTCCCTGTAAACACCCAGAAACTCACACACTCACACAGTTGTGTCGTCACATAACAATAAGGAATAGTCCATTATAACCATGACAGAGGGGTGGAGCTGCAACGAAAAGACTGAAAACAATCACTGCAGTTGCAAATAACATATAAAACAAAACACATTTTTAAAATATATTTACATTTCAGAATTATTTAACAGCAAAATTTACAGTCTCCGTAATTTTCTGTATTTTCATGAGGGCTCTAGACAGCCTACTATTGCCTATTGAAAACACCGCCCTTGGTTATAGTGCTTACCTCAATCGTGGCACAATTCAGTGCAGTATGTCTAGCTGAGGTGAAAGCTAAAGGTGTTACTTGTACAAAAAATAAAAAACTGCAAAAAAAACACATGGTTTTGGAACACTTTACATGTTTAAAAAAGTGTGATTACATGAAAAAAAACACATGGTCACACGAAAACATGCTCACGTGAAAAAATGTGTTCACGTGTGAAAACATGCTCATGCGTGAAAATGAGTGTTCACGTGTGAAAAAACGTGTTCACGTGTGAAAAAACGTGTTCACGTGTGGGAACATGCTCATGTGAAAAAAATGTTCACGTGTGAAAACATACTCACGTGAAAAAAATGTTCACGTGTGAAAACATGCTCACGTGAAAAAAATGTGTTCATGTGTGAAAAAACGTGTTCACGTGTGAAAAAACGTGTTCATGTGTGAAAAAACGTGTTCATGTGTGAAGACATGCTCACGTGAAAAAAATGTTCACGTGTGAAAACATGCTCACGTGAAAAAATGAGTTCACGTGTGAAATAGATGTGACATCTCTATAAAATGAACATGTGATTAAAAATGAATACCATGAAAATGATCTACAAGCTGCACCGCTAAGAATCGTTCTTTGCACTTTTAGGTAGAAACAAAGTCAGTCTGAGCTAAGCTATCCAGCTAGCTAGATCTCTAATTTGCTAACTTCATCGTTTAGCTCGTCTTTCCTCCTCATCTGACGAGTCATGTGATAATCCACACTGTCCATTGTAATGCTGATTTAAAGACAGTTAGCAAAGAAGTTCAGTTGCAGTGAGGTTTCCAGCTTCTTAGCACGTTCCTGCATTAGCTAGTGAATGAGGAGTGAACCCCCAGTGAGTTTTTAAAGAACTACAAGTTCTCTGGGCCAGTACACTCTTAAAGATGTTTCTTCAAGGGTTCTTTAGTAAAGAAAATGGTTCTGTATAGAAGCATGAACACTCAAAGAACCCATTGCATGATTAAAGGGTTCTTTGCATTATCAAAGGGTTCTTCAGGTTGATGGAAAATGTGCATGAATGTACTGTAGACGGTTCTATATAGAACCTCCTTGAAAAGGGTTAAATATATCACCCAAAAGGGTTCTTCTGTTGTTACGAGCTTGACATCATTACAATAGAAGAACCCTCAAAAAGGTTCTATATACAACCATATAAACACACATCTTTCAATCTGAAGAACACTTTAATGATGCAAAGAACCCGTTAGTCATTTGAGTGTTCAGAAAGAGAGACAGAAAGAGAGAGAAAGAGAGAGAGAGAGAGAGAGAGAGAGAGAGAGAGAGAGAGAGAGAGGATTTGTTTGACTCGTTGTTCAGTCGTCTTTTCTAGTTTTCTAGAGAGAGAGAGAGAGAGAGAGAGAGGGAGAGAGAGTGAGAGAGAGAGGATTTGTTTGACTCGCTCAGTTGTCTTTTCTAGAGAGAGAGAGAGAGAGAGAGAGAGAGAGAGAGAGAGAGAGGATTTGTTTGACTCGTTCAGTCGTCTTTTCTAGTTTTCTAGAGAGAGAGGGAGAGAGAGTGAGAGAGAGAGGATTTGTTTGACTCGTTCAGTTGTCTTTTCGAGAGAGAGAGAGAGAGAGAGTGAGTGAGAGAGAGAGAGAGAGAGAGAGGATTTGTTTGACTCGTTCAGTCGTCTTTTCTAGAGAAAGAGTGAGAGAGAGAGAGAGAGATAGTGAGTGAGAGAGAGAGAGAGAGGGAGAGAGAGTGAGAGAGAGAGGATTTGTTTGACTCGTTCAGTTGTCTTTTCGAGAGAGAGAGAAAGTGAGTGAGAGAGAGAGAGAGAGGATTTGTTTGACTCGTTCAGTCGTCTTTTCTAGGAAAGAGTGAGAGAGAGAGAGAGAGAGAGTGAGTGAGAGAGAGAGAGAGAGAGAGAGGATTTGTTTGACTTGTTGTTCAGTCGTCTTTTCTAGAGAGAGAGAGAGAGAGAGAGAGAGAGAGAGAGAGAGAGAGAGAGAGAGAGGATTTGTTTGACTTGTTGTTCAGTCGTCTTTTCTAGAGAGAGAGAGAGAGAGAGAGAGAGAGAGAGAGAGAGAGGGAGAGGGAGAGAGGGTTTGTTTGACTCGTTTTTCAGTCGTCTTTTCTTGCCGGTGAGTTCAGGTGAAGGAGTGAGTGTGTCAGATTGTGAGGATCCGGAATGGGAAAGCGTTTAGGGCCGACACTGAGTCCGTCGCCGTGCTGTAGGAAACCGCAGCCTAGGCTGGAGTGAGAGTAGGAGTGGAATTCCCCTCTGGAGCTGATGCAGACAGCAGAATCCCCTCAGAGAGAACAGCAAGCAGCAGGAAACACAGAGAGGCCTTCTGGAGAGAGAGACCAGAGCGACTGCTGGATGGTTGTGCTGAAGGCTAATTGGCTGTAATTGATGGACGAGTGGGTTAAAGTAGTGTTGCACCGATACTGATACCATATCAGTGCTGATACTGGCACTTAAATACGGTATTGATATTAGTGATGGAGATACTGATACCTGTGATCAATACCATGAAGCGATATCAGACTTGTT